CTCTTGCATCTCCAGTAAGATATTAATTATTGGAGAGCTGTGCTTAGAATTATCTCAGATATCTGAGAGACTGAACTCATGTGGTTATACAGCACATGCTTTTATGAATATATTAGTGATAGCTGTCAACTGAATGATCTAGCTGAAGAAGTCTTGTCTCTTTTTGAACAGATTATGGATATAGCAGCACAAAATGCATCTCTTAACGTGATGACAGAGGTAGCAAGTAGCTTGCTGAGACAGTGGCTCCTTCTGTAGTGCTCCAAAACAATTTGTTTTCCAGCGTTTGCAAAATCACGTATGACATAATTTTTCTATCTCCATAGTTGCCTGCAGGAATGAGTTAATAAAGAGCATTTTATTAATGCTGTCACTATCTGGTGATATATTCAGAAAAACATTTTTGTGCAAGTATTCATTCAAGTTCTTGATGCACTGTTGTACTTGAATGCCTGGTGTGTAAACAAAACAGATCTTCTCAGACTCCAAAGTGGTAAATGCAGAAGAATATCTTCATCAGTGATAGATGTTAGTGTTATAATTTTGGGAGTAGGTGAGTGACTGTATAGGCAATATAGAACATTATTGTGTGCTCCTGTGGAGTGTTAACCTTCTGTGACTTGTTCTAAATTTAGAGTCACTTTTTACTTGTGGTATGGGGAGGTAAGGAAATGTTTCGGAACTACTGAAAGAGGATTTTTCTGGAGCCATTCTGCTCCAAGAAATGTGTGCCCTGAAGGCTTCTTTTCTTGCTCCTGCCCTTTCAGAAGAAGGATTTGGTTTCAGTCTTTCAACGGTCTTTGGGAATTGTATTTCTAATGTGCAGCGAGGAGATAGGACAGGAAACGTCTGGAAAAGGAAGAAAGTAGGAAACATTGGAACATGAAGCACTGTTCTTGGCCAGAAGCTGTAGTGAAGGTGATCGCAGGATTTGTAGCCATGCTTCCCAAATTTATACGGCCCATTCTTTTTACATTATTCTTTTTTAAAATGCTTCTTTCCTCTAATGAAATTTTACTGGTTGTTGCTCAGGAAGTAAGATCTGTTTGAGGATTTTGACTGTGTAAAGATGAGAAATGTCTTCTGCACATTTTTATTTTATATAAAATAACTTACTTTTTAGTAACTGAAGTGATTATATGGTTGCATAGTTTTATTAACGTTGGAAAGTGTGAGACTACAGTAGGCATGGATTAAGAAATTGAAGTGGAAAACACCAAGAGTATGTACTTGTAGAGCTATATTTATTTCTTTATTTTATTTATTTCTTTCCACTAGGATAAGGTGATGGTAGATGCCACAGAGAGCAGGATTTTTGAGTTGGTGTTTTTTTGGTTTTGTTTTAAACTGTCCAAACCCCCCTTAATTATTGATTTGCTGCAGTTTCACGTTTGTTCTTTTTCCCTTTCTATGCTAGACCTAACTTTTCTTTGAAGTATAGCTTTGCTTTTATTAGCTTTTCTGTACCACATGCATTTCCCATGTGCAAGGAGAGTAAATGGAAGAAAGTTACTGTACTTTTTGCTTGCATTTGAAGAGAGCTTAATAAAAAACTATGTGGAGAAAAGGCACAGTGGCTGTAAGGTGAAATTAAATGAACCAGAGCTAGAGAAGGAGACAGTCTTGAAAGTTGCAAGTCATGGAAGTTTTAGGTAAAGCTTCTACACTGTGTTGTCTGTGTGAAGAGAGAAGGAGCTGAAGAGAGCAGCTGTTGTAAATACCTGAAGTTATTACTGCTAATGCTGTTAGTAATACTGTGTAAATTGCTATTCTAATTAGATTGTCATCAAACTTTAAATTAAAAAAAAAAAAGGCAGCAGGATTTTTTTGCAGTATTCTAGATTGATGGAGGCATTTAGACTTGTGAACGTCTCATCGATCCAAGGTTGGAGATATCTTGTTACTTGACTGAAAGATATATTACCATTTTGCGACAGGAATGCAAGATTGCTATATAGTAATCTTCTCCTTGGTGTATAAATGGTGGGCTCCATTCCTCTTAAATCCAGAGATCACCCAAATACTGGGTATAAACTGGGATAGATGTGGAGAATGAAGGAGAACTCAGCTTGTGTCTCTGGTTGATTCCAGAGAGACAGTATAAAATCAGAGGAAGTGGAGAAATGTGACATGTGGGTTGTTTTTAATAAATATTTCCTGATGTATGTTTAAGAATTTGGTCTGGCTTTAGTGATTTGCTTTGATTACTTTGACATTTTGTAACTTTCTAGTGAAGTGATTTCTTCTTAGGCTAATAAATTGTGCTTGCAAAAAATAAACAATAACCAGAAGTCACTTTATTAGGTGTGATCTTAAATTAGGCCAGAGAGACTTAAAGGTATGGGGTTTGGGTGGTGTTTTTTTCTGAAGCTGCATGAATGATTGTTTGCATCCTCTGTTGCCACATAGCATATAATCAGACCAAATAAGGAAGCAGCTTGCTGTTCTGCCTTTATAAGTAAGAGAGAGGGGACCTGCTGAGAGGAATGAGCCATTGCTGCAGGGAGTAGTCAAAGGGGGTGCAAATCTGGCAAGACCAAGTGGGAAGTATGTATATGGATAGTTCAGTCCCATGCATGTTACTGTTCTTCTGCCTGTCTCTTACTCCTTGCATGTGTGAAGCCAGGCCTTTATTACCAAGTTTTATACATATACCAAGTGTAAGACAGCAAATTAATATTGTGGAGCACCTCTCCTATGAGGACAGGCTGAGAGAGTTGGGGTTGTTCAGCCTGGAGAAGAGAAGGCTCCGGGGTGATCTTATAGCGGCCTCCCAGTACCTGAAGGGGCTACAAGAAAGCTGGGGAGGGACTTTTCATAAGGACAACTAATGACAAAACAAGGGGAAATGGGTTTAAACTGAAAGAGGGGAGGTTTAGATTAGATATTAGGAAGAAGTTCTTCACTGTGAGGGTGGTCAGACACTGGAACAGGTTGCCCAAGGAAGTTGTGGATGCCCCCTCCCTGGAAGTGTTGAAGGCCAGGCTGGATGAGGCTTTGAGCAACCTGGTCTAGTGGAAGGTGTCCCTGCTGCTGGCAGGGGGGTTGGAACTGGATGAGCTTTAAGGTCCCTTCCAATCCAAACCATTCTATGATTCTATGTGGTTGGGAGCAATGGGAATAGTATGAGGGAGTACCAAAGAGAGGAAGGAGGTGAACCACACGTTTTATTAGCATGGTTTAGAGATGGTGTCTTCAAAGGCAAAAGACAGAAACTTTCCAAGGGACATAACCTAATTTTTTAGGACCAATCTTGAGGACAGAGTAGATGCATTATGGAGAGTGTTGTAAATACAAATAGATAGCAGAAGACAACAGGGGGAAGCATGTTTTGAAAAGACCGGGTGTCAGGATCCCCTAAATTGCTGTATGTTATACTAGGACAGAAGAAAGTTGCAGAGAGCTGGGGAGGAGGAGGGCGGTGTGGAGTGGTTGAATACCATTTTAGGTGCTATTTCTTCCAAAGTGCCCACTGTTACATTTTGAAGAATAAAGGCTATGGAGTAACACATGATTAATGGTGAAAAGGTTGTCACGTGAACTATTCTTGTTTTCTGTCTCATGGCTGTATATATTGTTGTTGTTATTCTTATAAATGTGTATTGGCTTATGAGAAATCTATTTTCAGTGAGTTCTACATTAAATGGACATTTTAAAAAAAAAAAAAAAAACCCAAAACCCCACAGCTATCTTTTGTAGGAAAAAAAAAAAGTTTTAGAAACTATTTTTTTTGCCTTTGTAAAATAGTCTTGTTCTGCTTCAGCTATGTAAGAACGCATCCTGCATCTTAGAAACAAAATCAACTTCTTGCTGATTACAAGGCTAGATCAGCTTATTCACTCATAGCAGAATCTTATTTTTCTGATGGTTGGGGAAGACAAGTGACCTCTGAAGAAGTTATTGAGCAAAACAATACTGAAATGAAGTCAATAAACAGTTAATTCTGAATTCAGGTAGGTCCGTTATCAGCCTTATTGGAGATAATGAGGTTCACCTCCTGTGGATTTTTGTCTTCTGCAGAGCAGCTGTCTCCTATAGTTCAATAGATTGTGAAATGCAGTTACAGATGGAAGCATTTGTATGACTTACTTTGTTTGCTCCTGCTGCAGCATTAATAATGTGATATTCAGGGTGAATAAACACCATTTATATGTTCAATACTCTTTAGTATTGTTATCCTTTGCATGGTTTTTATATTTTTATAAAAACTTTATAAAAACTTATAAAAATTTTTATATTTTTCTCTCTTCTTGGTTTATTTTTTTTTTTTTTTTTAATGTCTTCTGTTTGAAATTTTTAGTCTCCTAAGCAAATGTAGCTATCTATAGTCCACTTTGCTGGTATTGGCTAAAAATGAGGTCAATAGGACCAAGATCTGTTTTCTAAACTAACTGAGGTCTGTTTGCAAGATTTGACTGGCAAACATATTTGTACACAGTTTTTTCCCTGAACGGGTGAACTGCAGATGTCCTTACGTAGTATATTAATTACAGCCTAAATCAGCATGGAAGAGATGAAACTACATGGATCCACCATGTTTTCATTATTTGGTTGTTCTTTTAAAATATATATTTTTTTAAATTTGTGGGATTCAAATTAGCTACCTTGACTGTAGAAAAGGACACTATCAGACTTTTTAAGAAGATTTTTGTCTTTACTACACTGCTCCATGGAGGGTCTTCAGTTGTTCCCATGACTACTGATATAAGAGCGTTGTGCACCTAGGCTCACTGGAGCACTTGCCTCCATCACCTCTTCTGTGTCTTCCATTACTTGTAAAACTTTCTTTTTCTGACATGCTGATGTAGGTGATAGCCACTTACTGGGACTGTTGGCATATTTAATATTGTGTTGCTGTATTTTTAAGTGTGGGATGTGTATTTCTGAGCTAGAAGAAAGCCCCCAGTTAACTGGGGCTGCATTATTGCCTTTATAATGAGGATAAACTAATGAGGAAAATATTGGGGAGTTTTAATCTCAGTTTCACTATTTGTCTGCAGGTAGCAATAAAAATCATTGACAAATCTCAGCTGGATACTGTGAATCTGGAGAAGATCTACCGAGAAGTGCAGATAATGAAAATGCTTGATCACCCACACATTATAAAACTCTACCAGGTACAATTAGCAGTGTCTTTTTTTTCCCCCTCTTGCCCTCTCTTTTGCTCCTTTACGAAGGGTTTGCTCTACACCAGTGAATTCTGGTGATTTGGTCCCCAGTCTGTGACAAACTCAGCTTTTCTGGAATTGATTTGCATTGGCTAAGAGGTGTAACTTTTTTGAAAGTACATCAGTTCTAGTCTTTTTCATTCTATGCTGCCAGTTAGTCTGGCCGTGTTAGATACTCTCGTGTACCTGAAATCTGCTTAAAGTACACAGATAGATTGTAAATTTTGTTAGTGAAGAAGCTGAGCTGGAAATACCTGGTGATGAGACTCTGGTGGTTAGTAGACAAGGTACTATGTAAGCTAGAGCAAAGAAGGAATACTCAGCATAGTGTGTCTATAGTGAGTACTAGCTGGGAGGATCTACGTGGATATAGTGGTTTTCTTCAGCCGAGTCTTGGCTCAGAGTGCAGATCGAGGAGTACTTGCAGCCTTTTTTTCTTATCCAAAGATGATATTACATGAAGATATGTTAATCCAGATTCTGCAGATGTGCTTGTGATATAATGAAGGGGGCCTACAAGAAAGCTGGGGAAGGACTTTTCATAAGGACAACTAATGACAAAACAAGGGGAAATGGGTTTAAACTGAAAGAGGGGAGGTTTAGATGAGATATTAGGAAGAAGTTCTTCACTATGAGGGTGGTCAGACACTGGAACAGGTTGCCCAGAGAAGCTGTGGCTGCTCCTCCCTGGAAGTGTTGAAGGCCAGGTTGGATGAGGCTTTGAGCAACCTGGTCTAGTGGAAGGTGTCCCTGCTGATGGCAGGGGGGTTGGAACTGGATGATCTTTAAGGTCCCTTCCAATCCAAACCATTCTATGATTCTATGATATGATAAATGCACACACCAAGCAAGAGCTTCCCAAACATTTTCTTTTGAAGTGCATTTAGTAGGAGACAGATAACTAGTTCTTTGGATTTATTTTTGTTGGAATCATGTGTTTCACTTCTGTTGTGGATATGGACAAATTGATATTTATCCTAAAGTGAATTATGTATGTTGTGGACTTGAATGCATCACTCTATAACGTAAAGGATTAATAATTATAGTGCAACAATGTATTTACCTAAGAGATAAACCTGGAATTGTGATAACACATACAATTGCAGACAATGAAAATTTGAAGGTTTTTACATGTGACTTTTTTTAGCGTGCTTCATTTGTATACTAAAATGTAGCTTTGTTTTATATTGTTCCTCTTCTGTTTCATTTTCTGTTCTTGCTAACATATGGTAAAATATTTGAAGCTGCTGGCATTTCTGCTTCAGTTAAGTTTTTCTTCTAAGGCTTTCCTGAGAATATTCCCTTTGGGATCTGTTTGTTAGTGTTTTGTTCAGCGAATACCATGGCGTTTCCGAGATACTCTTGCTTACTTCAAGTAAACTTAGCTCAACATACAAATGAAGATTTCTGCATGCTAAAACCAAACTTTGAATTTAAATTCATCTGACAACATCTACAAAGGCAAGGTGAACACAAGGACTTGGACCTATGGTGTTGGAGTTCTACTGAAAAAAGAAAAAGATGCCGGTTTAGACTTATTTAGCTTTAATTTCATCTTATGGGAAAGAGACTGGCACTTCCTCTTTAAAATACCTATTCACCGAGTAGAGGCCGACCTTAGGGAGTTAAATTTCTAACTAGCTTGAGTAATATCTACCACAGTTCCTTCTGAATGAATGCAAAACACAGAAATGGTAGAGTCAGAGAATAGTTAAATGAAGTCTGGAGATCAGCAAGATCACTTGAAGAGGTGGGTAACTGTAATGTACTGCTTACCCCTTTGCTATTAAGGGATTGGCTTGTTAGAATTGCATTTGTTAGATAAGAGAGTTTATTTTGAAAATAGCCTTCAATCAAGTTGTCTCACTGGTTTGCTCGTATCATGTGCCCATCACTGAACTGTGTATACGCTAAAAGGTTCTGAATTGTTTCATGTCAAGGAACTACTGAGGATTGTCAGAGTTAGGTAATGAAGCTAGCAGTCTTGGCTTGATTAAGAATGGTTCCAAATATATGTAATCCACAGGCTGTTGCAGCTTCCTGTCTCCAAATGTTGGTTTAAAACAGTCTTTCCAAACTGTTTTGCCTTCCAGATACAGACATTTCAGTCATAATATGCTCAGCTGTTGTAGAATTAAACAAGGGTGCAGGAGAGAGTGAAGAACTCCCATCTTGTTCTGTCTGCTGGCTTGTCAGTTTTTTAGTAATTCTGCTGGTTTTATAAGTATATATCTTTCAGGATTTGCCTTTTTTATTTTTTTTAAAGCATTCCTCTAAAAAGAGTTTACTTGTGAGCAGTCTTCCAGTACTTTCAAACTTGTGCATAAATAAAATGCAAAAATCAAATCCAAGAAGGTCTTGTCTGCAGACAGCTCAGGCTAAACTGTTATACTGAGGTTATTGAGATAGGCCCAAAATGTGTTTGGTGTTGAAATTGTTGCATTGTAGTGAAGGGAAGTCCTAAATTACTTTTTTTATTTTGAAGTAGATGACTTTTCACTTTTAGTCTATCTTTTGATTATCCTGTTTGTACAATGCATTCCTGAGTAGCTGTTTATGCAACTGAGGAACAGATCATTAGGAAGAAAGTTGCAAGATAACTGACTGGGCTGCCTTTTCCCAACTTAAATCATGGAAGTATTGAACTGTTGAGTGAAGTCTTTCCATTCAAGAGTAGAGTAACTAGAGTACTGTTGGTAACAGAGGTCAGTATTATCCCCAGTTGTCTTTCCCAAGCACCAGCCCATCAGCATGTTAGAAAGTTGAGCAAGAGTATTACTTCAGGTGGATTCCTTAAGGGAAAGTCTTTAAACTAGCTGCTGAGGATATGATCACTTTGTGTTAGTCAGTTGTGGCCCTCCTCCTCCTCTGTACACTGGCTTTATGAAGTATTTAAAGCTTATCCTTGTGCTTGGCATGCAAATACTGCCCTTGAAATTGTTGAGGTAACTTGAAAAAACAAGCTGAAAGGGTAACTGTATGTGTAAGGCAAAGACTTTCACATCTTTATCAGAATAGAACAACGAAAATAACTATCCAGTTGGGTGTTTGTTTGCTTTTTGCTCTTCCTGCAAAAAATCTCATTGTGACTTCTCTATCAACAGGTGATGGAGACCAAAAGCATGTTGTACCTTGTGACAGAATTTGCTAAAAATGGAGAAATTTTTGGTAAGCAAGAGAATTATTTTCTTGTTCATTGCTTTAATGTTAACTTCTGACGTTTGTCAGTTGTATTTATCTTGCTGAAGGGTCCCTTTTACTGTAGTATGTCACTTTACTTGTCAAGAAATGTGTGATAACTGTCACTGTTTCTTATTTTAGAACTAAGAACTTTAGGGAAAACTGTTAGAGTGTACACTAAAAATTACTGATGTTCCTTTAGCAGAAGACCTAGCTTGTTAAGCAGAACAATGCAGGATAAATTCTCCCCCCACACACACCTTTTAATTTTCTCTGCTGATAGAATTACTGGGTTTTCAGCATTGAGTTGAGATGAAAAACTACATTTAAATGTTTGCCCTGATAATGAACAGTGGCCCAAACAGTATTTCAGGTAAACTGAAGAATGTGTTTCTTGTGCAGTTATGTACTGATTTATTGGACATGATTTTTTTTTTAAATATGTTTTCAGAAAGAACATGGTGGGCAGGGGGGGTGTCAGGGTGACTTGGAGTAAAACTCATAGTAAAAATTTTAGGTTGTCTTGTGTTGACCCGCATGGTCAAATTCACATTCACAATTAATTCAACATTAATTCTTGTTCTTTGGCTCAAATTTATCACTTAAGCAGGACTTCAGTGTTATATTTGTGTGAAAGAGTATTTTATTTTAGTTATAATACTTCACGGTGTAACTTTTTTGTGTTGTAGTGTTCAGCTTGGACTGCAATAGACATCTCATTCTATTTCTTTGGAAAAAGTTGTTTTATCAGTGCAGGACAATTGTATGTAAATAATCTGAGCAGGTAACATTTCACACTTGCTCAGCCCTCTTTTAGTGTAGGACAGTAGAGAATCCTTCAGCATTTCAAAAGAACAGAAGAATTAAGGAATTCTTCTAAATTCATAAGAAATTACGGCAAAATTTATAAAACTTTAATCAGCGTGGCTAAAAATTCTAGAAGTAACTTGGATGGTTACTCTTTTTGCCTTCGTATTTGTCTTGGCTTTAAATGCGTATCATTTCCTGTAAAAGTTTGACTTAAACTCTTAGTTCATTCTGAAGAAGCAAAGCCTTTTGGGCTCTCAGACTTTTTCCCTGTTTGCAGATCCTTTAATGTATGTTTCAGACACAGTTTAGCTAATTCTCTTAGACCTTGTTTTCTCTTTAAAATAATTAAAGAATCTTTCCAGGTTCATTATTAGAGACTTCATATTTCTGTACAGTTTTTTTTTTCTAAATAAATAATATTTTTCTGATTTATTTGAATGGTTTCTCAGAGTGGCTTTTGTAATTAAGAATGGGATATTTTGTTCTTGTATGCATTTGTCACTGTTATATATGTTTTTGGAGGAGAAAGCAGAAATGAGGTAATGGCAGAAGCGTGTTAGAATTTCAGAGGCAGGGGGAAGGTCTCTTCTGGCTTTTCTGCATGCTCTCAGACAGGAAGAGCACTACAACATAAGTGCTAGAGCAAATGGTCACTGTCTACTGATATGTAATAACTTTGTTTTAAGTTATTAGTTATTACCCAGGACAATGGGTTTATTTTCCACGCATGCTCTCAGACAGGAAGAGCACTACAACAGTAAGTGCTAGAGCAAATGGTCACTGTCTACCAATATGTAATAACTTTGTTTTAAGTTATCAGTTATTACCCAAGACAATGGGTTTATTTTCCATGAATGAATCTAGCATGTAGAGTAACAGAAAAAAGGAATAGAAAAATAGCAGAGGAGCAGAAATACTCTCAAAGGTAAAGAAAATCTTTTTAGCTGGAGTATTTAATACATAGCAGGTTCTGTTGCTTTGTTGAGCAGTTGGACTGAGGTGTTAAAAGTTACAAACTTTCTGGCTTAATAAAAGCTAATTTCATGAGTTTTATGCTTCATATCCAGGCACTTAGCCTTTTGACATGCATTTTAGTTGCAATAACAAAAGTTGGAGTTGCTGAGAAGGTTTGTCTGAAACTGTCAGTTAACATCACCAGGCAGAATGAACTCAAAGGGCAATGGAATAGAGTTCAGCATGTAGGGGGCCCTGGTGATTGGAGTGCAGAAGAGGTGGAGCCTGGCTGATTTATTTTATTATTTTTTTATTTTTTTTACACTTGGTGTGGGGGCAGCACAGGCAGAGAGGATGGATTTAATGCAAACAGAACTCAAATGTTCAAAGTCCTCTCTCCTGTTGTCTGGGTTATCTCCCCCCCACACACACCTTTTAAGTTCTTATCATTGGACTGCTTGTGTCATAAGCCAGGATATCCCTGTCCAGGGCAATTTTGATCTAACTGGAAAGTAGAGAAAAGCAGGTAGTATTAAAGAAAAAAAAAGGAGAAAGATGACTCAAACTATATAAGCTTTTCCTCCTTCCTATCCTGATCCTTTGAGTGTATTGAATTTGTTATGTCTCACAATGTGTGAAATAAAGTCTCCCTTTTATAACATCAGTTTTCAAACAGCATAAGTAGTGGGATGCTCTTCTAGAGTCCTGTACCCCAGTGTCTTCAAAGTTTCTAACACTGTCACACATGATCCTGCTATTTTGGGGATTTTACTTTGTTTGTTTTCTCTTGTAAAGCAAGATGGTTAGAAGCCTGTGGAGCCTGCTATTTCTTTAGTCTCCTGACAGTATTGTGCTCCATTTTGTTCTTTGACTAATCTTTGATTGCAGTTGAAGGGGGAGCCTTAAAAAACAATAAAACAAGCTGATAATTAACACTAAAAAAACTGTAATTGTTCAGCATGGGGAAAGGTAATACCCAACCTTTCAGTTACATTTGTTTCTGCTCCCTCTTGCTTGCTGTCCGACACGCTACATTTTAAAAGCAGTAAACATGACCAAACTACAGCTCTGTGATTTATGTCTAGCTTAACAATTGTAACTCTTTAAAGGAATGTGCTGCTTTTGGCTGAAGTTGAGGAGCCAAGTTTTATGATCTTGTCCTTCAGTTTCTTCATGTGGCCTCCTGCTGGGTTTTAGCATGAAACTGCCAAACAAGTGATAATAGCAAAACTTCTTCATCTGGAGCTCCAGTACAGAATTTGACATGACAAGGTGACTGTACCTATGTATGTACTTCTCTGGTACTTCCTTTTTCTACTGTATACAAGAAATGTGAAGGAGAGAAGGACCAAGGAATAGTTGAGAGGCAAACATTTCATCTAGCAGACCTGGTGTCTGGGAAGAACTGCTTAACTGCATTTGCATACTCACTGTGTTATCCTGCAATCCCATAGCTCACTTTCCTGATTCTTTAGGTGTCCCTTACCACCTTCAGTCTGTTTTGCAATTGAACAGTAGGTTGTGAGGACTTTGCTGCCTTTTAGAGAACCTGCAGGAAATAAGGAGATACTGTCAGGCTATATTAGTGTGCCAATACTCCTACTCTTACATAGGCATCTCTGCTTTACTGGTGAAGAACCATAAGATTATTCTGTGATTTTTCCAAAATGTTCACAATGGAAACAAGATGTTCATGTCTTACTCTTGCCAGATGCCAGCTAGGGTGTCCACCACACCATTTAAAATTACTTTTGTGCAATGATAGTAATGCACAGAAATGCAAAATAAGCTTATTTAATCAGTCCTGTTTATGCTCCCCTTCCCCTGTCCTAAAGGGGCTACCTTGGGACTTAAGCCTGTTTTTGCAAGAGTCTCTTGTGTGTTCACAGTGTGTGCCTAGGGGTGGTATGGGAAAATGGATCAGCCCAGGCAGTCTGGTGGGTCTCATCATCTTCTACACACACAAAATCAAACCATCCCTGAGAGGTAGATCTCAAAGTAAATCTGATTTGGGAATAGCAAAGTGCTGAACTTGGAGGAAGTCTGGTAAATATTTGGAGAAAAGTTTCTTAGACAAAATAGCACCTGGATGTGAAAACACTTTTACATTAAATATGTACAGTAACTAGTCATGCAAAGTGTGCTGTTGTTGTGCAAATGAAAAAGTAACAGTGCTATTACAGTTTTAGTGATGCTTTTTTAAGTGTGTCTCTTGGAAACCTGCAGTAGCTGATGCACAGTTCAACCAAAGCCACCAAAATTCGGTACTGGATTTTGCCCTAGTCGTTAGGGAAGCTGAAGTAGTGTTCTTTTGTCCTCAAAACAAATTTTACCGAGAACGAGATTCCCTTTACAGCTACTCCTTTGTGTTATTGCAATATCTGGGTTCAGTCAATATAGAAGACAGTCTTACAAGCTTTATAGAGTATTTCAGCATAAATACTAAGCTTTAAGGAGACACATTTGATGGTACAAGTCTCTGAGCTTACAACATCAGCTTCTTGGCATCTTGTGCCTGTTTAATTGAAGAATAAACTTGAAGTAACTCCAGAAATGCTTCCACATGATTTCTTAGAGTATTGGTATTTAATTAGGTCTGTACCTGTAAGAGCCAAGTTTTACCTAGCAGTTTGTCCTGGACTATTTCATACAGGTTTTGAGCAGCGATGCAGAAAGCTGGACAGGAATGGGTTTGAGCAACTGTGTCCCAGCCTTGGCACAAGATCAGATGCACCATTCTTGGAAATCTCCCTAGAGAGAGATTCAGTAACTTTCCTAGACAAAGCCATTCAAAAGCTGAGGGTTTGTTTGGTTGGTTTTTTTTAATTTTAAAGATTCTATCTAATGCTTAATGTAGATTTCCTTAGCTAAAATTCCAGCCAATTATTACTGCCTTTGTTAATAGGCATTCATAAGACTAGAAATACCATGTGTCCTCTAATAAGGGATTATTTGTTCCTTACTAAGCTTGAACTGGATGAGTGATCCCTTGACTGTCTTACACTGAACCCAGATCACAGAAGAGTTCAGGTTGGAAGGCAGTTGTAGAGAATGTCTAGTCCAGCCCTGTGGCTCAGAGCAGGGTCAACCGCAGCAGGTTGCTCAGGACCATGGATGGAGACTACAATCTCTAGCCAAACTGTTCCAGCATTTGGCCACCTGCACAGAAAGGAGCCCTTTTTCTTAGCTTTAGATTTGAATTTCCTGTGTTTCAGTTGCTTCCCACTGCCTTTTGTCCTTTTACTGGGTAATTTTGCCAAGAAGCGTCTGGCTGTGTCGTCTTTCACCTGTCAAGTATTTATACACACACGATAACATTCCCTTCTGCACCTTGTCTTCCCCAGACTGAACACTCACAGCTTGCTCAGCCTCTCCTTGTATGACAAGAGCTCCAGTCCATTAATCATCTTCATTATCCTTCACTGTACTCGCTGTATATGCCTCTTTAACAGAGCCTTAACGTACCAAATCTAAAATGTGTGCAATTGTCCACCTAAATGAAGGACCTGTATTTTAAATGAAAAGCATTGGCAACTGGGTTTGACAGTCAATGTCTCCCAGTCGTGTTTTGAAGTAAACACCATCATAATCTTTCAATTGTCCAGTAAACAAATGTACTTTGATCTACTGAAAAGGCTGGATAGGAAGCTACCTTGTGTGACAAAAGTCCCGCTGCTTTGTGCTGTGGATCCAGCTGAATTTAAGATAGCTTCTGGTTTCTATTTTATTATAGAAAAATGAAGAAAAAACAAAACACGACACTACCATAGAAACATGTAGCCAGAGGGTATGACACGAGGGTAAGATTTGTCAAAGGATACATTTATGAAAGCATTGGTATCTTTGTTATTTCAGTCTTTGCAAGGTACAACAGGGTGCTTTGCTCTGCATATCTGTGGTTCTTCGCTCCAGAGGTAACACACGCACATATTCAAACAGCGTCCAGATGCTAGCTATTGTGGCAGCATGTCTCTAGCATGTTTCAGCTGTCTTAAAGTGTCTGGTGTCTATAACCCAGGGGTGGACAATGCCTGTATTCCAGACTTTCCTATTTGCGAGCTAGTTAATGCACTAACAGTATCCCTGCCCATACCATCACCTATCTAGACAGACTGTGGTATGTTCTACTTGTCCAGGAGAGAAAGCAGATTATTTCAGAATAAATGGCTTATTCCATGCAAACTACTAGACTTGGTGGAATACTTAAGGCCAAGGTGGTTTGGAATCTTTACATAAGTTCTGACAGGCTAGAGCCATAAAAGCAAATGACAGCTTGGATTCATGAACTTGTTTGCAGCATTGCTAACAAATGATGGATTAACAGCTTAAAGGGCTGGCTTGCATTCAGTGTAATTTAGTTTGTGCCTTTGATATCTGACTTCACCTTGATATCATATGATTTGTCAGTCACTTTGTGACTGAGTGATGTTTAGCTTGCAAATATTATGATCTTCCCTTACTGCCAGGCTTTTTGTTTGTTCTAGTGCTTTGCCAAGTTAAACCAGCTGAAAGTGTATTAAGATTTAGGTAGGTTAGAAGCTCTGAGGAGAGTTTTCAGATCTGCGCGTTCCAGAGATCACATCTAATGTGTTTTGCTTAAAAATGTTTTTTGAGGGATGCTAAAATGAGTATATTGCAATTGAGGTCTCTAGTGTGCCAGTTCAGATGGTTCAGGAGTAGCTACCTCTGTGCTTGCAGAGTGTGCTCGGGAGGTAGTAGCAGCAGTGCATGAAATCCCACCACAAGTAAAACAAAATTATTTTGGTAATGGGGTATAGAAATATTCCTAAATGATCCCCCTACAAAACATCTTTGAAATAAGCTTTTTTTACTGAGCATATTAAGAAGATGGTGTATTGATTGCATTTGTTTATTTAAACCATATGAGTGAAAATATAATTCAGAAGTCACTTTGATAATCAATATCACACTGTCTGAAGCACTTAATGGGAGTATAGTCTAGTGACCCAAGTGGCAGCAAACTTGTTGCAAGAAGTCAAGGTCAGTCAAGTGGTCGGTTTTATATGATCCAACAAGAAATAATTTATTTTTCATGTTTTTCTGAATATTTGCAAAAAATCTTCATGGTTTGTGAGTGTGTCTGTGCCCCCTCCTCCTGAACAACATATTTCTTTGTCCTTATCTGTAGTAACAATGAAGCAGAAGTGCACCATTGGTGAAGTTTTACTGGAAATGTATTTTCAGGTTTTAGAGTGTGCTTAATGTGAGCTGCTCAGGCCTTCTCTGCATATCATAAAGAAAGCAGAAAAGCTTAAATGAAAATGTTGCAAGCATCTATAAAGTCCACAAACAATATTTTACTTAAAAAAAAACCAAAACAGCAACCAACCAACCAAACAAAAACCAAACCACAACCTAACAAAGCCAGGTATTCTGCTTTGGCATTGAGTTGAGCAAGATGATCCTTTTCTGATCACTGAGATTACATAACTAGCTTAGAAGATAGGATTATTCATTTTACTTAGAGATTTTGCCAGAGGTTCTTATAAATAAATAAAAGTAGGCTCAAAACCTCTATTACATCATGTTCCCTTTTCAACTTGGCGAAGCGGCCGTTTTAACCTGCTAACTGAATCCAGACAGAAATGTTTCTGTCAGCTGGTCTGTAAATGATGATTCCTGTTCATGGGAATGTGTAAATGATAATGAGGAGGGGCTGGTGGCAGCTCCAGCAGTTTAGTTCTTGCTTCCTGTTTTATGTTTAACTTCTGTACTAGTTGTGATGCAGCAAGTGGTTGGAGATTGCTATGTGTGTATGTGCTCAGCCTTTGCCTGTGATCACTGGGTACAATATCGATATGTGTTTGCTGCACCACGGCCATTAACTGCATTCTTTGTAGGATGTTGAAGGCAATTCTGAAAGCATCCTAACAGTGGATTCTTTGATTTTATGCCTCATAAAAGAAAGAATAGCACTGGCTATAGAAACTGTTTCTGTTAAGACTCACGCAGCTGCTGCTTCACTTGTTTTTATTCCTGAGGACAAATGAAGTCTTCGGTTTCAGAGCTGTCATTTGTTTCGGGGCTAACATTAGGTTTTTTACAACATAATCAAATATAAAAAGCAGTTCTTTCTGCTTGTGATGCAGTGAAGATAAGAGAGAGGTCAGGATGGGTACCTTATGGGTACTTGTTTTATTTCCAGAGAAAAAAGTACTTTTAGCCACCACAGCCTCTGTTGAGGCTTCAGAGGGAGGAATGTGGCATGAAGCTTGTGTGAACTGGTAAGAGGCTAAAGCTTAAAGTACCTCATGATGGTGAAGCCAGTTATTCCAAGTATTCCCCATTCCACAGGGGTTGTGTTATATGAAAATATTTATCAGAATATCCAGGTAACTATAGAAGAAGGAACAGAGAGCAGAGTTTCATTACGCAACAGCTTTTTCTGATTCTTTTTTCTATTCTTTTGGAGGGGAGAGTGTGAGAATAATGAGTTGGAAACTAGGATTGGCTGAAGTAGTTTTTGAGTTTCCTAGTGCTAATTATTTGAGAGAAATAATTTAGTTTCAGGGTTGTTGCTTGCCATCTAATCCCCTTAAACCTGCTTTATTTTAACAGATTACCTCGCCAGCCATGGCCGTCTAAGTGAGTCTGAGGCCAGGCGCAAATTCTGGCAGATCCTGTCAGCGGTGGAGTATTGCCATGGTCGAAAGATTGTTCACCGTGACCTGAAGGCTGAAAATCTTTTGCTTGATAACAACATGAACATCAAAATAGCAGGTACTCAGAATGTAGATTATATCCAGTAACACCTGATTTTTATGAAGTCCGTTCCACTAATTCAGTTGCTGCTGCCCAAGATACGCTGCTGTGCTTAAGGTACAGAAAATCAGAGTGGTAATACATGTCATGGTTTTGTATTATGGATATCACAGCATATGTAGTTAAAATAATTCCTAGATTAGCTCTATTATACTCTCAGGAAAAATGCAATAATTTTTGGAGTTACAGTCATTTTTTGTGGGTGTCATAACACGTCTACAATGCTGCCAGATGTTCAGGTTACAGCAGAGTTAATCAAATAACTTCTTTCAACATTAGAAAAACTCAAAATGGAAGCTTATTGATTTTTTTTTTTCTTTTTGCATGCATGATTTCATTTTCATCATAAATTTAGACACAGCAGATGTTGCTAGCAATGGAAATAATTTTGTTGGTTGTCAGCTCATTACAATTCCATGAATCTTTCCATACTGACTTTAGCACAGTGACACTTGAAATGGGAAAGCTAGATAGATAGCATCCTGATTTGGAGGGCTGTTGAACTTTAGTCATCAATAATATGGGAGCAGGAAAGGAAGGCTAACTGCTGTAAGAAGCTGGTTTGTATAGGAGTAAGCTTGCTAGTTCTGAGAAGGAAGTGTGAATAGATAGCCCATCAGGCTAAGAAAGGTGAAGTGATAAAACATTTCAGAGTTGTAGATCATTGCTGGATTAATTTACCTTTGAATTTCCTCTCTGGCATCTCGGAAATGAATTAACTGAAAATGTATCTTGATCTCTAATGCTTTCTTTAAGGATAAAGTTGCAGAAACATGTTAAATATACCAGCAGCTGTCTAAAAGATGCACTCCTTTTTATCTGTGGAGTGTGAAGACAGTGTCCTTAAAGATTGTAAAGGAAAAGTTAACCCTGTTTAACTGGTTAGCATCTGTGTCATTAAGATTCACCCCTTTCTTTGCAATACTACAGCAAACATTGGGAAGAATAGACTATTAATTCTGGAGATTAATTCACCCACAGGAAAAAAGATTTTAAATCCTTTCAAGTCATCTTTATCAGATTGGGAAATCTTTTAAAATGAGCCAGGGACTTTTGAGATGAAAATTATTTATTGAGCAAGAATTTTATCCTCTTTAAATTTAGAGAAAAGGAACCCATAGTCATTGCTATAAAAAAAACCCAAACCAAAAACCAACATAGGTTATCTTTGCCTATGAAATGGGATTTTACTGATAAACCAAGAAGGATTTCTTATCGTTGTGCATATTAATGGAGTAGCTTTCCCAGATACTTGATATGTTTGTTGCTTTTGCATTGACCTTTAGTTTTGTCTGTACATTTAAAACATTCATTTCTTCATTCCTTTACCACCACCTTTCCACCTCTATCATCTTTTTCACATGGTTTAAGAGTTTACAGGAAAGTTAAGTTACAGATAAATTAAAATTGAGGAAAAGGAAAATACAGCTATGTGAGTTCCAGAACCATGATTTTCATACAGTGTTAGGCTACTGTTTATTATAAAATCTGAATATAAGGAGAGGTTTTTTGGCAGAAGGAACAGTGTGGAAAACAGATTCTCTGAAGCTAGAGAGGAAAGCCTATAAATCTGCTCTTTGGCATGTTCTCTGTATTTCATGGCTCTTTAGCATCTCAGAGTGGGAATTTTAAAGCAGGTTCATAAAAGCTGTAAAAATAGTTATTTAATGCTTTATATAAATTAATAGTAGAGTCTTTGCAGTAGTCTCTTTAATTTCATTTTATATTAAAGTGTTTACGGTTATCTTTTAATTTTCTCTACGCTCTATTGTGGGCTTTCGGATTAATGTTAAACTGTAAAAATATTAAAAGCTACCATCAGATGAAGTAAAAGCGTTTTGCAACTGTTGTAGCAGGAAGATGCAGTTCTGGTATAGGTTCTTACTTAGGGCATTTGATGCCTGAAGAAAGCTAAAAAACCAATTTGTGATGGAGATGATGTCTGGACTTCATAAAAAAGTGGCCCAAGTATAATAACAAAATAACACTGAGATTGAATTGGTGGTGATGTCTCAAAAGTAATAGAGCCACCCTCACTATTTGCTCACAGCAGTACCCTTTGTAGAGTATTTTTACTTTTCTTATTTGTGATTTCAAAGTGGAATTTATTTCTAGCATCTGGAGATTTATGACTGACATATAGTTGTATTTACCAGGACAATGTATGGCTTCAGTAGATACTATGTCTAAGGTCTGCAAGACACGTGGACCCCACTTACTACGAGTAACTGGACTAAATATAAATAGAAGGGAATTTTTGTGGTATTGTTCATCTATGTATGCTTTATTTCCTTGCCTTCTGATCTGCCACTCTTCTCCCCATTTTCACCACCACATTCCATCCCTTCTGATTTCTCTTCCTCCACATCACTGTTCTGCACTGTAGCTTGTCACGTTCAACCTGGCATAGTTTTTCAGAACTCCTCAGGGGCCTCCACTGCGCTGGAGTGGGGCCATATTCAGAGGTATTCCCTTCTTGGATGTCCTTAACAGTGCAGGGATGCAAGTTCCCTGCCTCCCTGAAGACTAAGTGCAAGCATGACACAGACTCACAAAAACACTTCAAAGGCACCTCAGGAGACCCATTAACTGAAGAAAGGTTAGAGACATGAACTATTCCGTTGCAGGGAATTTCAGTGCATCAGTTCTCCAGGGACTCAAATAAAAGCGTGGATAAATGGTAGTTACTAGATTCCATCAGCTGCTGCTGTCTCTTTCCTCCTCTTAGCTGCTCTTGTGCTCTACCTGTGTGTTACAGAAAGTTAATTACAGGTGGTCTGTATGTAAATGATCACATTAACTGGCAGGGATTCACACGGTCTGATTCTTCCATGTATCAAGCCTTATCAGATTGATAGCAATTCCTGTGTCAAGGTTTGGTGATAAAGTAGCTGGAGGACAGTTAGGACTGCTTGAAACTTTGTAGTGATTTGTGCTGAGTCACCTGTTTTATTTTTCTCTGTAAAGGAGAGACAATGAATTCCACACAATGGTTTACATGTGATTTTGGGGTTATCTGGTGCTGTGCACATCTCTTCAGAACAGTCTCTTCCAGTGGTTCATATTCTTCATGGTTCATTTACCAAACTCTGGAAGAACAAAGGATCGTGACTCTGATAGCTAGAATTACTCTCTAATTTGAATTAATCTAGCAATTGAAAATGAGCACAGTAACTGATGAATTATTGTGATAGAAAGCTCTGCAGTGTCAGTGTTTGCGTTGGGTCCCAGCACTACGCACAGGGCTGTCCCTTCCTGATCACTCCAAGCAGCTATGAAATCCACATAGATACTCATGGCCATTCCAGGCCCTTCCTAACTCCCCGTGGACCTCTTGATTCATTCTGATGCTTCTAGGACTTTTATTAAAGCTTTTACTATTAAGGAATACAGTATTTTTTAGCCAAATAGAGAAACATGCATGAAGTTACCTCTGTATTTCAGCCACCAGAAGACTAAACTAAGATTCAAAAATAAGTGTTCCTAAAACTGTGAGCTGATGAGACCGCCACCTTTTATGTTTAAACAAGGGGGCTGAACTGAAATTCAATAGTTTTCTGTTAATGCTGCTCTAAAAGGATGAGGATAGATCAATAGATAGAATTCAAAGGATCCTTTTTTTCAGTCTTAGTAACTGGATGAGAAACAGAGGATGCGTAAAGATCTTGAGGTGAGAGCTTTGATAGACTGTTATTTTCTAGAAGATACTAGGTAGCTGGGAGCAAAAGCCTCAAGCTTAAACTTTAGTATAAGTAACATAAAAGAAGGTATTAATCAGATAAAAAGTCCACTAAGAAGGTTGCGGCGGAAGAATGCCATCCCAGGCAGTCTCCATCAGGTGTGACATCGAATTTGTTTTTAGCCATTAGAAGGTAAGCAGTCTTTGTTCTTCTCAAAGTTATTGCCTGTAGATAGCTGGATTGTTCATGTACCCTTTGCCTTTTGCTGGTTTTTTAAGGGATCACAGGGACTGGATTTCAGTTACTGATCACTGATACGCTATGCTGTCATCAAATAAAACTCGCTCATTGTCTGTACAGTGAAACATCTGTGCATTGCTGAAAATTAAATACAGCTTTGAATTGTGGATGGAATACTTCCAGCCCCGTAAAACTGCCAGATTAAGATGCCTTATAGATGTCTGCAGAAATCATACCACCTTGATGGTAAAGCTACTGTGTTTGAACCAGATCAGGCAGGAGAGACTGTTATTTTGAAGTAGGTTGTAGCGCTGGTTTGTCTTGCTGGTGGACAGTAAAATATGCATTGACGTCAGAACGGGCTGATCAGCATTCAGTTCATTAAGTGGGTCAGGTTTGTTTCTAACACACTCATACCTTTCCTTGATCAGTACCTCTCTCCCCATTATCTCCCCTGCTCCTTTTACTATTACAACAAAAGATCCATGTGGCTCTACGAAGCCAGGCAGATTAAATTCCATTGGTAATTTTAGAAGAATGGATTAGTTACAGCTCTAGAGCTAGTCTCCCTTTTAAAGGATTTTTAGAGGTACAAATTAGAGACTACCTCATATTGCTAGATGCACAGCAGAAGTTGCAGTGGTTCTGGCAGGGAGCTTCCATTTCTCAAACTGCAAACGGGTCTGAAATCTTAGTCTGTTTCCATTTTTGACAAGAAAACAGATTCCATTTAAATGATGTACGTTCAAAAAAATTGTACCTTCTAAATTCAAGATTATTCTAAAGGGTGTAATGAGATTGAGAAACAAAATACCACAAATGTCGAGAGCCAGTATTTGCAGATTGCACAAACACAGAGTTTATTCAACTGAACACAATGCTGCAAATGATCATCTTTTTTTTTTAATGTGCAGATTCAGGCAAATGTTAAGAAGATAAAGATCACTCCATTATATAATCTCAGTCCTCTGGTAACAAGTCCAATTTCAGTCCTTTTAGAATTCTGTATCTGGCATATGTTTTTTTGAGGGCTGGCAC